GTTTTGTTTTGGTTGCTATGCCTTGACTTTGGTCCGGCATAGTACACAGCCACCGGTGTGAACCGAGTATAACTCACAAAACCCAACATAATAATTTAATCATTATTGTGAAAATTTCTGCCGTGTGAGATTTGTAATGTAATAATAAACGTTTTAATAAATAATAACTTGCTCAGAAGAGTACATAAAACTATTTTCTTCTTCTACTCAATGTTTTTCTTTATAAGGAACAACAATCATAAAAGATTACTTGAATATATTCAATAAGAAGAATTCAACTGAAATTTAGTGCTTATTTTATAATTATTATTGCTTTTATACATTTATATTTTGATACAAATAATGCTATTTGCTGTATATATACCGTCATTCAGTGTGAACATGTTGGATTTTCTGTTAGACGAAAATCCAGTATATAAACTGCTTCAATATTTAACACATTACTGTATAAAATGTTTGAAGTATGCAGCATTAAAGTGATTTTAATTTACCATGTTTAAATTATATTAAAACATGGTTCTTAGATCAGTACTAGTCTATAGACTGTCTGTCGGTCTATGTAACTTATTAAACAGAATAAATGTTGATATATGTTGTTCGTGGACTGAAAACACACTTTAAAATTTAAAATAAAATGTATTAATTGAAATTAAAACTTTCTGTCATTTAAATTAATATTTTATAATAATTGAGAGTAATGTAACAGTCAAATTGCATATTCTAATGAATAATTGTTGCTTAATAATCATTTTATTATAAAATGAACAATAAATAAAGTTGAAGTAGATATTTCGCTTTTTTTGTTTACTGTTTAATAAATTATTATAAATATATTTATTTAATTCTGTATAAAAATAATGAAATTTAATTTATATGCATAATAAAGTTCCTAAATGAAGGAAATTATTATGTTTTGAAAACACTTTTGAAGGTTTACTTTACATAATACGTAAAGTTTGTGAGAATTGTTTTCTTTTCTCTTCATCTAATTTTCATTTATAAAAAATGTTTAATCTGAGCTCCTGTTTGCAGTAACAAATATCTCCAAATTTCTTGTCTAATTTTGCATTTCATAACTAAATAAATTTATCCTCGTACTTTATTATACGAACCGTTGACATAGCTTTTAATTTTGAAACCTATTTAGTAAAAGCCTTTATTATACAGTATATACCTATCGAATTCAGTGCTGAACTCCAAACAATTTTAAATATATATATAACAGGAAACAGGAAATCCAACTAACTGAGATCTAAACAGTCATCAGCTTCACTCTATAAACACCGTACACACCAAGAGCCCCAACATGGCGACTGCCGCGATGCATCACGACCTTGACGTCTGTAACGTCAAAATAGTCGTCAATTACCTTTAAAAGACCTCCTGGAAGGCAGTTCCTTACGCATAGCATCGTGTATTCAGCAAAGGCAACGAGAACCCACTCTGGTACTAACTTCCTCCAGGACGTCACTCGGCGCACAAACTAATCTGTACTAATATGCTCCGAGAAGTACTCACCTCCAACGTTTGGTTGAGGAGAGAAAGAAGAAGAAGAAAAAGAAGGTTACACCAGGGTACCCCTGATATAGAGTAGTAAATTTCAGCAGCCAAAATTAAAGTAGTTCATTACTGCATGTAATTCGTATCATATGCAGCACTTCACTTTAGAGCCTTACCCGATGTAGTGACACTTTTAGAGGGAAACACGGGAAATAAGATGTCTTAGATTCTAGGCTTTCTAAATGACATTTAATGGTTATAATCCTTATTCTAATTCTTATAATCCTCAGATTCTAGATGACATTTAATGGTTATAATCTTTGTTCGATTGTAATCGATGCGATTATAGAATACATTTACCAGAAATTCATTGAGATGAATTGAACTTTTAGATTCATTTTATTATTTTTGATGACTCTCTGTGGAATCTCCTCTTGCAAAGAACACAGAAGAGCATTTGGATTGGACAGAATGAGTTTCGGATACGCGAAGAACCGAATTTTACTGAAAGGATTGGCGAATTGAAGACATAACAGAATTTTCGGAACCGAGAATGAAGAATGTCAATCGATTATATAATATAAAGCTAAAAAACGAATTCGATTATTCGAATTTGGATGGAGGGATATCAAAAGTAAAGGAAAAACCAGATGAGACATTCATGCATATCAACATAGGTAAGAGAATTTGTAAGAAAATCAATTGCTTTTACAACGAATTTATAGAAAAATTAAAGATAATACAAGGAATATTTTTCTTAATTACATTTAAGTAATACGAAGTTTAAAATATAATTTTATAACAATAAGAATGCTTATTTGTTTTCCGTATATTTAAATAAAATAAATAATTATAGGCGTCCAGAAATAAAATAGTAATATTAATTATAACGCTGACAACTGCAAGACAATGTATTGACGTTATTAAACTGGAATGCTCTGCTCATAAACATAAATCAAATCTGAATAATATCTATTGTGTAAATAAAAAATGTTTATTAACATCTGTGCCATTAGAACAATACAATTCAATAAGGATAAAAAAGTTCGGTAAATTATGTTTTACCTCGTATAAACAATGAAACTAGTCTTATCCCAAGGTAACTATTATAATTAAATGCAAATTGAGAATCGTTTAAATAAAAACGAATGTGATTAAATTTTCCTTACTACAAATAATTTCGATGTAAGCTTATATTTTCCTCGTATTTTCTGTAATATATTTATATTTGGAATTAATTATTTTCCTGTAACTGCGATAAATGTATATTGTAATTCTTAAAGTAGTGAGAAAATTTTAAGGAAACGTACCGAAAGTGCTGTGTTATATTTAAATTTTCTTACGATTCGATTGTTCATTGTTGTACTCATATACGGCATTCTTCACTACAACGCATTTATAACGTAACTGTTAGATTCGAAACAAATACTGGATAATACACAACGCTCTTTTTCTAAAATTATCACTTTCGGTACTGAAATATCATTTGTGGTAACTAAACAGAAGGTTTTGTATATTAAAAATTGAAGGCGCAGTCTGTTGAATCACATCTTATACAGTACCAATGTTCCGGAATACAATTTTTGATGGCCGACCTTTCCTTGTAGGCTACTTGACCGTCAAAATTAAAAACTTTCCTATAAAAACAATGAAAATATATATCAAATTAAAACCAAAGTTTTAAAATTAGAACTGGCGATGCCACAGACGTCGTTCTCTTTCCATCCTTTTAATAAGATATTTTCTTTAATCGCTTCAAGGATGTATTGTACTAGTCTTTCGCGATACAATGCTTTAAAAATTTTTATGATTTCTGTATTTAATAGTTTTATAAAGGATGTACTTGGTATTAGTCGGAAGAAACTTCAGATGAATGTTTCTCAAACATTGCACTTGAGGATGAGCAGTAGAGTCATCCAAGAGTAGCAGAATTGTTCTTGATTTTTCGTGCAGTTCTGCATTGCAACTCATAAGCCATTTCCGAAAAATATTTGTAAATCATCCATACATTCTTGTTGGCAGAATACTTCACCGGTAAACTGTCGATTCTAAGACTTTTAAAGCATCGAGGCTTATGACTTAAGCATCGAGCACTTCTGTTTATCACTTCCTGACACATTACAGCTATACGGTAATGCGATCTATTGCTTCTTTTCTTCAATCTGACAGTACTTCATGTTTATAACGCGGGAAACAATCTGGGGTAGCACGGAAAAACAGCTGCATTTGATCAGACCCAAATTACTTGCAGAAATTCACGAAATTTAGTTTATTTCTTATTTTCGGCGCTCCTAGTTTCAGCACTGTTTTTTCATCGCGTGCCTTAAATTTTATTTTGTGACTTGTTTTTTATTTCAATAACCATTCACCTGTAGCTTCGTGTGATTCATTTTTGTATTTAAGTGTTCTGATTTGGTTTTTAATAGCGGCTCATTAACACATAGGTTAATCCTCTTTGCTCCATATTCTGTATTGATGTCCAAAATAAACGAAGTAAATTTGCCTTACATTATCTGTTGGGTTTCAGTCTAAATATATACCCTAATTAACTAGAATGTACTGTAATAAACATATGCTCATTATCGTATAAATAATTCTCTAATTTATAAATAAAGCAAAAAATAAACAAAATAAACGATGTCTAGAAAGCTGCCATTAATGCGAAAAAATTCATAGAGGTTTCGGAACCCCACGAAAAATTTTCCAAGATGCAACGAATGCAGATTCCATTTTCCTTGAAAATAATGCTCACATACGAAAGGTTGCATTTGTCAACGACTTTCTTCAGAGTGAGGATATTTACCACATGTAATAATAACTAACATGATATCCAGATTTCAGACTCAAGAGCACGTGTGCGATGGTCCAGGAAAACGAGTTTAATCTCGTTAGCCTCCACCAAAAATACTCCACATGATTTAAGATATACGTGTTAAAGAATAAGCCTTTTTCCGGATAGAACTGATAAACAACGTAACAATCAGCTTTAGCAGTGGGTTCTTATCTTTCTCGAAGCAACCGCACTGAAAGACAAGCTTCAATCCTGCAAATTAAGAAAGCTTGAATATTTTTCGAACGGTCATCTTTGTAGATGTGTAATAAATATGCCGCACCTCACCAACTGACCTTCCTACTGTAGTCCTAATTGAACCCATGTTATACTTTTAATAAAGGTCCACTTAGTGCTCACAAGGAGAAATGTGTCAAAAAACAAAATTCAAAATTTTCAAACGTTTATTTCACATCACGTAATTAAATTGACAAAACTATTTAACATTTTTACAGGTTTTAGGAATTGCATTTTATTTTTCCTGAGAAATTAATATAATGTTATTTGAAACACTTTTTGTATTTTCAATAAAGAATCAAAATCAAGTAATACTTTAATTAAGTAAACATAATTATAGTCAACGTCATTGTGTTTTACGTCACACCATCGGTGTGACGTAAAACACAATGACGTTGTGCCTGTTACGTCAAATTATTCGATTGGGTATAATATAGGAAAGTCTTCATGTATACTTTAAAAGGAATTATTTGTGACTGAACACTATCTTTTACCTGTTGATTAATAATAGTCAAGCAAAAGTCAAGTAAGTTGCATTTTTATCTTTGTCAAGAAATGTATTTATATATAAACATAATGTTTTTTCAACTGTATGTTATTTTTTTATATCGAACTAATAAACAGTTAAATAATAAATCTTATAATGATGAATAGTAACTATAAACGAATATGTTAAGCATAAAATTTAAAATTTATTTTCTGATATTTTTAATTACACTTTTTTTCTTATTAAATAAATATTAAAAGTTGGTCAATGGACTTCTTGTGTAAGTAGAGGGGAATATATATATATATATATATACACACATATACATTTCTCAAGTTTATGTACAAATGAATAACAATGTATTACTTCAAATATTCCAGGAATAATACATTTCACGTTGCAACTTCTGGAAGAATGACATTGAATATTTAAAGTAGAATAGCGTACTGATTAAAATATAGCATAACAAATTCAACACAGGCCTTGTAATACAATGAAGAAGACATTCATCGGAGACGGTTTAACCAGTTACTTCGAGGAATTCGGAAAAGTAATTGCTCGACATCCTTTTTACTTTCTCATACCGACAATTCTTATATCTGCCCTCCTATCATTAGGGCTTAAAAATATTTATTATATTGAAGACGGCCAATATTTATTAAATTCGGATAGTGGCAAGGTAATTTACGATAAGCAATTCGTTAACAAAATGTTTCCTGTAAACACATCAGAATTTTATGATGTACTAAGAATGACTCAGCTTCCCAAATCCCCAATGGTATACATAAGTAGCAAAGATGAAAGAAATATGATTTCTAAAGCTATTCTAATGGAAATACAAAATTTAGACCAAATTATCAGGAATATAACAGTAAGAGTCGATGGAAAATTAGTATCCTACAATGAATTGTGCGGCATTGTTAACGGAAAATGCTTCGAAAATCCTTTATCCACAATAATGACTCAAATAGATGACATTTTTTCTTCAAAGAAAAGAATTAAATTTCCAATCGAAATTGATCCCGTAAATTACTCATACCAGATGTGGGTATTAAATTTAGGTGGCGTGAAAACAGACATTGATGGGTACGTCAAAGCAGTTGAGTATATGCGTTTGATGTATCCCGTTGATGAATCTAATGAAAAAAAGGATAATTGGATAACAGAATGGAGAAAGATGTTTCTGAAACAAGTTCGAGAATATAAGTTTAATTTCATCGAATTGTATCCATGTCCATTGCTTTCAACTGAATTGGAGTTTAAAATACTTGCCGAAAAAATCACACCTATGATAAGTGTTTCTGTTGTAATAGTTACAATATTTTGCATCCTTACATATATGACAAACAGCTGGATAAGAAGTAAACCATGGATGGGTGTTGCTGCAGTTGCATCAGCAGGATTAGCTGTAGTTTCTTCTTTCGGATTAATGGGAGCCTGTGGAGTAGGAAGTATTCGCAGTCACATCTGTTTGCCTTTTCTTATATTAGGTAAGATGCATATAATAATATATGTATATGGTTTAATTAAATTCTTACAGTATATTATATTTAGCGACAGAGATCGACGATGCGTTTGTGATTGTAGCATGCTGGAGGATTACTAACATTCGCAACAATGTAGAAGAAAGAATGGGGAAGACATATGCCAATGCTGCTGTGTCGATCAGCATAACAAGTTTGACAAATCTCTTGTCTTTCTGCATAGGGATGACAGCTGAATTTCCTGGTGTTCGAATATTCTGTTATTATGCTGCTACGTGTATTGGTTTTACTTATTTATACCAGATAACTTTCTTTGGAGCTTGCTTAGCTCTAAGTGGATACAGAGAAGAAAGCGGTCTTAATCCATTTACATTTCGTTCTTCCAAAGGTAAGACTGATCCTGAATTAAGTTATTCCCGAAATTTAGATTATTTTCGCTTGTATGAAAATATTAAATCAAATGTATTGTTTAAAGCAATAATTTTAAACATATCGAAACTTAAATTTAAAATATCCAACTAATAAAATATTTATGTAGCATTTACTAACAATTGTTTGTAATGCGTACGATCTTTCGTTTAATCCTATTATTACTGAATTTTGATAATAAAGAGAATTGTGAAGTAGGCTATTAAACAAAATAGCTGATAAATATTTAGTTATTATGCTTGAAATAAGAAAGTACCAAATTAATAGCACTATAACACCATGCATTTATTAATTTTTCTCTAAAAAATCTATTTTGTTAGTTATTTCTTTTCTCATTAAAGTTTTTGTAGAAAATCTAATATTTCATTTAATTGTTTTGCTGTTTATAAATCATAAATGTGTGTTTTCGTCAAAACTTCAACCACAATTAAGTCCAACCCTACTGGAGATATGACACATGGCACTTCTCTATCTCCCACCCCTCGTTCTTTTACCATCAAAAGTTAATAGTATTAATCTACAGTTGACCCCCTATAACACTGTTGATAATTCCGTTTTATATGAATTCCATGTTGGACGAGTCACTTAGATTTTACAAATATGTGTGCCGGGCTGTGAACAGCTCGCGTATTTCTAAAATCTAAGTGACTCGCACAACATGGAATTCATATAAAACGGAATTATCAACAGTGTTATAGGGGGTCAACTGTACTTAATACGCAAACCTCCCTGCAAAATTTCAGAAATTTTTGACAAAAAGCACAGGAGTTATTAAGGTTCAAAGACGGTAAACAAAATTGTGTCTCTCACACATAAACACACATACACAAACAGCCTCAGATATAAACAGTACAGATGTATTGTCTTAGTGATTGGAGACAATAAAAATCCGTAAAAATATTAGAATGACGTCATTAGACGCATCCCTCTATAACACATAATTAAATAAATAGTGCTTTAAAACTTATGAACTGTCTAGATTGACTTTTAAATTTGTTTAATTTATTATTAAAAATAGAGAACAGCCCAATGAAAAGTCATGTCTGCCCAAAATTAATTAAGAGTGACGCCTGTACATTGGGGCACGTCCCCTTTTCTTCTAGGTTTCCCTTTTCCTAATTCCCAAAAGGGTCCCAAACAACAAAAAATTCGTGACTTTTAGCCAATTCTGCATATATAAATGAAATTAATGAACGATAATATTTATTGATCCATACAACAAGCAAAACTTTGGTAATCATGTAAAGACAGACATATAACAACGCATTGGAGGATTATATTAAAAGACCATACAACTTCGTTATATGTTGACCAAAATCCTATTCCTTGTTTTTGAGATCAAGATAGCCACGAGTACAATCAGCGCCATTTTGTGAGATCGCTGATCTAACGTCGAACCATAGTTTGAAGCTCTTTTCATAATGTATGATACCTTTTTTATAGTCTGTGTTCCCCTTTTTCATAGTTTACGGGCACCGCTGACTCTAAGTATGATTTATGATAAGTAGAATCGTGTGCCCGGAGTTGCTCGGGTTTTTCAGGAGTACGGTATTGACAGAGACTAATATAAACAATAGCTTTAGTAACTAAAATCTGCATTTATTTAACTGATGATTTATAATAATGACACTGGAAAAAACAAAAAAAAAAAAAAAAAAAAACGGTCGGCCTTGCCAAACGAAGATAAAAGATAATTCTTTCTCTCAGTGCAAAACTTTGGCGAATCCACATTTGGAAAAAGCATTAATGGTGCTCCAACCTTTAGTTCTAAGTTACGAGGTGGTTTCCGAAAAGATTAAAAACTATACCGAATTCTAGGGACTAAGTAATACTCGTACAAAGTTTGGTTTAGATCGGTTTAAAATTAAAGATTTGTATAAAGTAAAAAACTAACAAGAATTGATTTTTATATCTATAGGGGAAGGTTGGGCAGGATAAGGACGTTAAGATTTGAAAAGTCATAAGACGGCAACCATTTTAATGAGAACGATAATTTTTTTTTTATTCTCGGCAACTATAACATTTGATAATATGTAATACAAAATTTAATTTTTGAAAAACATTTTTAAAAACAAGAAAAATTAACATTTTAAAATTATACGTAAATGCGCCATCTTGCCCCACCCGCGGGGTAAGATGGAGATATTATTTTTATATACGAGGAGGACAAATTAAAATGGTTAAACTGTCGTTTTCTTCAATATTGGCGCAATAACAATGCGCCCATTTATCACAGCGGCTACATTTATTATTATTTTCCGAATAAATAAATATAAAAGTTTGAACTTACTCGTATTTACTTTACCAGACGATACTGTCACTTCGCGCATGCTCGGTTTCGCTATTTTGTGAACAGACGATATTTTTTTTGGTGGAAAAAATTTTTATTTCGATTATTATTTCACATTTTATTTCTTGTTAAGATATTATTTAAATTTAAAAAATGTTTTCATAAATAAAATAAAACGTAAAAACATTATTTTATGGTTTGAATTTGTTGGTAATGGGCCTACTGAACACCAGGGGAGTTGGGTTCCATATTAAAAGCACCAATAGGATCCATATTTCACGCATCTCCATCTTGGGTTAACTTAATTCCTGTCGGCACCAAACTTTAAAAACGTGAACATCACACAGGTTAATATGTACCCCTAAGTCTCTGGAACGGATACATGCACCAGTGAACCTACAACTACACGATTTNATTTAATTTCAAAAATAACAAACAGAGTGTTAAAAACATACAAACGGAAGATATAATAATAATTATTATTATTAATATCCGAAAAATAAAAGGTAATATTTTTTTAGAAAAGTCAGATAAAATGTACTTACTTAATTAGTAAGTTATTATTTTTTTACTTAAGTGTTCTGTGTTCGTTTTTTTGTTTTTTAATGTTTTATAGTTTATAATAAAATAAATGACGAAAAAAATGTTGTTGTTTATGTACAACCTCTTTTTGTGCCAGAAAAAGTCGATCTACCGAAATCTACCGAAAATTGCCTAAGGAATCTACCGATGGTGGCAAGCAAATCGGCGTGGAAACAATGTGTTGAGGCTCTTTTGGTGTGTACGATGTTTCTAGAGTGAAGGTGATCATTTGTTTCTTTCGATCTCAATTAGTTGGATTTCTTGTTATACATATATTTTTTAAAAATGATTTGTTATTCAGCATTGAATTGTAAAAATTCGAAAGCCAAAGGTATAAGATTGTTAGTTTTCCCGCAAGGCTTGAATATATTCAATAAGAAAAATTCAGCTGAAATTTAGATCATATTTTATAATTATTATTGCTTATATGAATTTACATTTTGATACAATATTGGATACAAGAATAATGTTGTTCAGTGTGAACATGTTGCATTTTCTGAAGTAACATTTTTAATGAAATTGGAAAATACAGTATCAGTTACTAATAGAGATTTTTTAAAAATATTTTATTGTTAGATGAAATCAAAAATCCCGTATATAAATTGCTTTAATATTTAATTTAACACTTATTATAAAATGTTTACAGTATGCATCATTTAAGTGGTTATAATTAACCCTGTTTAAATTACATTAAAACATGGTTCTCAGATCTATAGTAACCTGCCAGATCTATGGATCTGGCAGGTTGTATAACAACATTATGGAACTTATTAAACAGAATAACAGAAACATTAGTATAACAGATTTATTAAACAAAATAAATGTTATATGTTGTTTGTGGAGTGAAAACATACTTTAAAATTTTAAATAAAATATAGTAATTGAAATTAAAACTTCCAGTCATTTAAATTAATATTTTATAATAATTGAGAGTAATGTAACAGTCAAATTGCATATTCTAATGAATAATTGTTGCTTAATAANAAAAAAAAAAAAAAAAAAAAAAAAAAAAAAAAAACGGTCGGCCTTGCCAAACGAAGATAAAAGATAATTCTTTCTCTCAGTGCAAAACTTTGGCGAATCCACATTTGGAAAAAGCATTAATGGTGCTCCAACCTTTAGTTCTAAGTTACGAGGTGGTTTCCAAAAAGATTAAAAACTACACCGAATTCTAGGGACTAAGTAATACTCGTACAAAGTTTGGTTTAGATCGGTTTAAAATTAAAGATTTGTATAAAGTAAAAAACTAACAAGAATTGATTTTTATATCTATAGGGGAAGGTTGGGCAGGATAAGGACGTTAAGATTTGAAAAGTCATAAGACGGCAACCATTTTAATGAGAACGATAATTTTTTTTTTATTCTCGGCAACTATAACATTTGATAATATGTAATACAAAATTTAATTTTTGAAAAACATTTTTAAAAACAAGAAAAATTAACATTTTAAAATTATACGTAAATGCGCCATCTTGCCCCACCCGCGGGGTAAGATGGAGATATTATTTTTATATACGAGGAGGACAAATTAAAATGGTTAAACTGTCGTTTTCTTCAATATTGGCGCAATAACAATGCGCCCATTTATCACAGCGGCTACATTTATTATTATTTTCCGAATAAATAAATATAAAAGTTTGAACTTACTCGTATTTACTTTACCAGACGATACTGTCACTTCGCGCATGCTCGGTTTCGCTATTTTGTGAACAGACGATATTTTTTTTGGTGGAAAAAATTTTTATTTCGATTATTATTTCACATTTTATTTCTTGTTAAGATATTATTTAAATTTAAAAAATGTTTTCGCAAATAAAATAAAACGTAAAAACAAATAATATACTGTATAAATTTATTACACTTAGATATGATTTAAAAGTGGAATATTTCATTTTCTATAAAAAGATCATTTTTAAACTTATTATTTTATATATTCGAAAAAATTATATAGAATTATTAGTGACAACAAATTTAAAACTAGTTCGCTGCACTATATTGTAGTGCCTCTAGTTAGCGGCAGAATTCGTGGCCAACCTTGGGCAAGATGAGTTACCCCGTCTTGCCCCCATCATCTTGCTCCAACGTGCACTTTTCGTACTGACTGCAAACACGGGTCAACTTTATTTCAAAACTAAACAATTTAGGTCTTAAATATTACTTCGAATACTATAATATCTTCGTCCAAAAGGTAATGTAAAAGTTTGCAATGATGACGAACTTTTTAGCGAACGTAAAATTAGATGAAGTATTGCCGAAACATGTCTTACTTCCAAACAAAGAGAGCGATTAGGACGTTCTCCCGTCCCGTGATCCCTTCTGAGGTTGACATTTATTTTCCCAAATAACAGCTAGATGAAAGCCCGTTAACCACGAATAAACAGACGTCCCGTCTTACTCCACGGCCTCATCTTGCACCACCTTCCCCTACATATAATCGAGATGGGTTGTTAACAACAACAACAATAATAATAATAATAAGCGCAGAGCCTAAACGGATAGGAGCTGAAAGTTGAAACTTGGTAAACAGTTAGAGTACGTCACGAGAATATACACTAAGAAGTGATTTATCGAAATTCACCCCTCCCCGTGAAAGAAGTGTTAAGTAACAATGAAAGTGTTAACAATGGAAGTGTTAAAAATGAAAGTGTTAAGTAACAAAGTTCATATTTGAAGTTCAAACTATTCACAAAAATATAACATTTTCGAGTCTATCTTTTAATCCTTTAACACAACCACAGAAGTAACAATTACAATGGTTTTGAAGAATGGTTGCCACAATTTCTTTCGATCTTTGGCGGTAAAGAAAACATCTAACTTCCCTGACATTAATTTAAGGTTGTCTTCTATAAAATTAACGAGCATCTCGAACTGGCGACTCGTAGTTCGCTGGCTTCGTTGGCCTTTCTTCGACATTTTAAAACAAAATTATTTCACTAGCTCTGGTACAGGACAATGCTAAAACCACGTGCTTCGCTTACAAAATGGCGAGTTGCAGTTACGTGACAAAAATACAATGTTAACTAAATTGTGATTGGTTAAAGCGTAACAGTTATCCATAGCATGGAACCCAGACTGATCTCGACCGACTACCCGTAGCGAAACTCACTTAACGTAAAGCACAGAATAGCGATTTGTCTAAGGTTTGTTAACTGCCTTTCGCTAAGGGGACTTATCGAATGTCCCATGTATCGCTCTCGTTGAGTTATCGGAAGAGCTCAGAATAGGTCCACTGCTAGTACATAGATAAGATTTTAGTTGTTTATCATGTACTATAATTGAAAAAATTAAATAATACTATATGAAAGCATAAACAAAGCTTACAAATATTCATTAGAACTCGTATTTTAGAAAAATTTAGAATATAACCGTTTCGATGTTACCCTAATATACTCATATTTCTTAGTAACATACGAAATTAACGTACATTTTTATTTTCAGTGAGTCTAAGAAAATGTCAAGAGGAAGAAAAGCACGAAAGCATCTTTATGGAATTCTTTCGAGATAAAGTAGCTGAACTTCTTTCCCTTTCACCAATTATGACAGTCACAATTATACTCTGTATCGTAAATTTGACAATAGGTGCTTGGGGTGTTTCAAGTTTAAAAGAAGGAATAGACATTTTTTCTCTTTATCCTGAACATTCGCTAATAACAAAAGGATATAAAATATTGTATGGACATTTTACAGAATTTTCATTTCCTTTAAATATAATTGTCAACAAAACATTAGATTACTCAAAACCAGAAGTGCAGCAAGCTGTTGATAATCTCTTGAATAAATTTCATACTCATCCCAATATCGCGGGTACAGAGCTTGAGGTTTCTTGGCTAAAATACTACAAAGATTTCCAAAAACATCCGGTATCAAAATTTTCCTTAGGAGGTTATAATTTGACCCAAAAACAAGACTTCATCGATGGTCTTCGTAACGTGTTTTTAAAACTTTCTGCTGCAAAACAATTCTCAAGAGATGTTGTTTTCAATGAAAATTATACAGAAATTATATGTAGTCGCTTCTTTCTTTCGACAAAAAATGTTGCCAACGTTGATACGGAACGTAAAGTAATAAGTGACATGTGGAATATTGCAGAAGAATCGGAATTTCCAATTGTTGTTTATTCATTCATATCACATACGATAGAACAGGGTATTATAATCAAACGGATAACTTTTCAGTTGTTCTGGTTGACTGCTCTATTAATATTTATCATTTTTACTGCATTCATTCCAAATTTTATGTGCGCGTTTGTTGTTGGCTTTTCAATTGTTACAACAATTGCCGAAACTATTGGTTTCATGTCTCTGTGGGGCGTAAATTTAGATGTCTTTTCGATGATAGTAGTAATTCTGTGTAATGGATTTTGTGTCAATTATCCAACACATGTATGTTATGCTTTCCTGTCTTCGAGCGATCCCAGTGCGAAAGGAAAATTGAAAGATTCTCTATATCAAGTCGGTTTTCCTATATTCCAAGGATCAGTGACCACAATTTTAGGATTACTTGTTTTCTTGTACAATAATATGTATGCTTACAGCTCATTTGTAAAGATCGTGACTATTATTTCTTTCGTTACAGTTTTCCATGCAATGTTTGCAATTCCTACTTTTCTAGTCTTAATTTTATCCTACTTTGAAAAAAGAAAAACTGATCAGTCAGATAAGAACAAATATGGCGAAATTCGGATAAATCATGAATAATAATGAAGTATAAAAAGTGATTATTGTGTATTACTTATATACTAAGCATTACCTTTTTCATATTGCGATTAAGTAGCAGTTTGTTAAGCTAGCACCAGTCTGGTGCAGGATATATACGCCGTTTAATAAAACACGTCAAATTACCAAATATTTTGTATTTTAGAAAATTTGATAAGTTATGTGCGATCTGCACTTTGCAGACATTGCTGTACCTGTACATGCTATACTAGTACACAATGACATAACCATCGGATTTGCTTATGCACACATATTAATTAGTTCGAAAATTCTACATTGTATAATTGTAGGTATTCAGGGAATATAATACAGTTTAGGGTTTCACTTATTAGGCACAGGAAAGCACCAGTTGAAGTGTTATGTACGACATTTACAACTTTCTGTAATAAAATGTAGCGACGAACGGAGACAAGCTCTCCCTCCACCTGTGCTATTTTCTGTTCGATTATTGGGTGCCACAACGATCTAATTCTACTGTATATCGCAATGTTTCAGTTACTTTAATATATTGCATTGTATGTAAGCTTTCGTGGATATAATTAAAGGTATATCAGTTTGCTTTTGTCGGTTTTTAAATTTATTTGCAATATGGTATGAAAAAGAAACATCAACGAGTTGCATAATTTACCCAACGAAAACATATAAATGTATAAAATACACTAAAATATACAAAAATAAAGTTAAAATCGTGTGTGAAATCATCTGTTACGTGGCATTATTAAATATTCACGTTAATTCATTATTAATTATTGTAAAAAAGTCTTAATTTTGAGGATACCAACGAATTTTTAAAAATATTATAAAATATAAATAATAAATGAAAATTAGTTTCTTAATCTTCCCCCAGAGATATTAAATGAAACAGCACCAACAAATACACACGCCACAAAGTAACGTACATTATTTTCTATGATAAAGACTTTTGATTTATTAGAAGTTAATAAACATTTAAAATATTATATTTATGTCTTCTTTATTTTAATTTAAAAAATTTACATAATTAAAAATTAGAAACTATATGTTTACTAACTGGAATATAACAGTAATTAAAAACTGAAAATTATGTGAAAATACGGGCGAAGGGACAGAGTTTTCTAATCGTCCGATCGGCAAGATCCGCTCATAGTGTCACTGGATGGCTTTTTATCGAGTGGCGAAGAGGTTGAGAAAGTCGACGGGTTTCTGTACGAGCAATGATAGACAGGTTCTCGGGTTAAACAAACAAACAAGGAGTTCATTATATAACTAATCTAATTCCAGGAGCATACATAAAGAATTAAATGATTAAATGCAAATAACATATAAATCTATCGGTAAAGGCGATCAAACTAATCACTATGCCGCGTACCTGACCTCTAGAGTGAGAGTTTACAAAGGGACTTCTGACCCTCAAATATACCTCAACATGCTGTTGGATGACTGTATGCGACGATCATTCTGAAATATGGAAGCTGGAATAGTTCTACGTCTGCTATCTGCTTTTTCTTGGACAGGACCACGACGGGAGACACTTGTATCAAGAACTCTGTCTGTTCTTCTTCTCAGTTTATATGAATAGTTTAGCTCTATTTAAGCTCTTTCTCCGAATGACATTATTGATCGCTATGCGACCGACGAGTCAGCCGTATCCGAACGGCCTAAACGCGCGCTCGGGGAAAGAATGCGTTCCGGAGGACTTTTATGGGGAACTAGTCTCCTATTTAGTCATTATTGGCAAGGAGAAAACCCGGAAAACTCCAAGCAGCCAGCCTGTCCGATCGCGGCGAGAATCCACGACCGAACTTCCCAGTGTTCAGGGTACGAAGACCGCTCGGCCACTGGTAGGCCTCCAAGAACTTCCTGTGACGATCGCTATTATACGATCAGTTCAGGGTACGAAGACCGCTCGGCCACTGGTAGGCCTCCAAGAACTTCCTGTGACGATCGCTATTATACGATCATCGTTGGCACTCATCCAACTGGTCGTTCGTCGTTTCGATGACGAATTCGCAGGTGCGCGATGACGTGCGATTTTTTCCTAAGTTGTTAATGTTAAGAGTTGACATCCGATCTATTTCCGTGAGAACGTGAGATAGTTTTTTTTTTTTCCTCACCGACTGATGTTTACAATTCCTTCGAAAAAATTTATCTAACATTAAAATTCCAAAACTTTACACCCTCTAACCGCCGGGCTTACATTTAGATGTATTTGAAATTTCTGTGTAGAGAAAAACAACACTTTTTAATTGTGTTATGCAAATTTAACGGTCTTCTCTTCAAGTTTTGATTATGTTTGCTGTGCTTTTGTATTCAAAATAACCGCTTGTATTTTGAAGATTAGGATGACAATGATTACGTATTTCAATGTTCTTATATTTTTTACTTTTACAATAATAATAAGTGTATTACTTTAAATTATTTAAAAATGCAATTCTTCATAACTTTATAATTAACTTCATAACTTATTGTTAAAAATGCAATAAAAATTAGCCATTCAACTACTATTTACCATACATGTTCATTCATTTAACATTTGCACATCCTGAATCTCACATACACTCATTCCACATATCCACATATCGTATGCTCACTTATGCGCACTTTTATTAAGTATAATAATTTACTTTTATATCATAAAAATTATAATACATCGTTATCTAGTACAATATAAAACATTGAAAGTGCGTCGAACGAATAAATAGAATCTTTAGTAATTAATTTTCTCTTATTTATTTATTTCTGGTGTCCAAACTTTTAAAATAAAGAATAATTCTTTAATTATTCTTTTCCGAGTGATGTTAGGACAGTATTATACGAGAGCAGCAGAGTGTGCACATGCACAATCAGACACACACTTGCACACTCACACAACAGAATTGGCAGTCGACTCTACAGTTGTCTGACGTCACCTGAGAGTTCACGAGCGAATGACCAGTAATGTATAAGAAAACATTCTTGATTACTTCTCATTTACAATAATATTTTGTGATATTATTTATTAACTTATTTTTCAATAGTAAACGTATCGGGTATTTTTTGTAAAGTCAAATTAAAGTAATTTGGATAAATTATGTATCATGTAAATGGTGCATAAATAATATATCGTATATCATTATTCTTTGTAACATATTGTCATTCAATATTACAAATGCAATTATAAAAAGGTGTAAAAACATTAATAAATAAGATCGTATTGTAAGATTATATTCAGACAGTCGGAGTTCTATTGTTTAGGTCAAAGCAATAATAATTAATTAATTAATGCAAACTTTTGCATTTAAAACACACTTTTGTCAACACATAATTATAATATGTATTTTAAACTTCAAATATCAGTTCCATGTAGACCTTACTTTAAAAAAATAATTACGGTTAGAGGTTCTCAAAATTCCCGGGTGAGATTTTGTTAACGCCAACCTCATGTCATTCTCAACATTTAATTTATTTCTCTCAAAACTCTCAACACATGTTTCAACCAACTGTGACAGAATAGCGTACCCAGATTACACTTATTTTAATTTTTTAAAAATATATGAAATTATTCAAACTTTAAGACACCATTAAAATAAATATTGCATTATAGTAAAAATTTTGTTTTAGTTTACTGCATAAGTTGGCGACCCCACAGAAAACCCGTCGCGACCCCCTTCTGGGTCGCGACCCATAGGTTGGGAACCCGTGCCTTATACGAATTTTAATAGAGTTTGTTTTCTAATTTATGTTACGTTAAATGAAATTTTCGAAATGAAATAAAACGATATTTTTACTTGTTAGACAAGTTTTACATTAAAATTCGTTATGAAACATAAACTCACTTTGTTATTAAATGCAAATCTCGTATAACGCGATTTGTATAACGCATTTTTGTAACCTCAAACTAATGTGTTATACGACGGTTCTCTGTATATAAATTTCGTTATTCGTTATTTCGGCTTGCGACAACTTGAAATGTATTGAAACTTTACACCAAATGAAAAATATCCGTTAATTTGAAGTTTGCTATAGTTTATTCTTTAAAACATACAATATCTACGAATTATAACATTTTAGAAGATAAATTTATCTTTATTTTTTATTCATTTGTCAACTACATCGCAGTTAGATTAACTGCAATACTTTGGATAATTAACAAAATAATTTTTAATTATTTATCACTTTTGACATTTTTATGAAAAGTATGTGTACTAATGTATGTAAACAAAGTATTAAAAGCAAGCTAATTTTTATTGTCTTTTAATAATTACGAAATAACCTTATATTAAAATTACTAGTTTTAAAATTTCCAAACTAATATACTTAATTTTAAAGTTATAAGTTTCCTATAAAATAATTCAATGATCTAAGAGTAATATAATATAATTAGGGCAGAGAGCCAAAAACACACAAACGATATGCAAATATAAGATTTCTCCCTCAAGGAACTTGTATACGAAATTAATTATTTTTAAATCGTTAAACACGTAGAGGAGGTTTTCTCTACGTGTCTAACGATTTAATCAGCATTTAATCAATGACGTCGATACACAACTAAATCAACGTTGTTGTTGTTGTTATATCGGTATTTTTCTATTTCTTCTGATAAGGAAGCTAGTGAATTACCAATTTACAATTAGTACTTTCAAACACTTTTACAAAGGTAACTGATTTCTAATTATTTTATGTAAAAATAGTATATTTCACGCTCTATTCAAAACAGAAAATTAGTTATTTTCTTATAAATATATTTTATAATTATGTATATTTATTTAAAGTTAATATTTGTAAATTGTTAGTATTATTATAGACTTAGTTTAAGGTTATAACCAGTGTTGTTGAGTCGGAGTCAGTAAAAAACTTTAGAGTGTGGGACATTGATTTGGAATTTTATTAATAGTAAAATGTGAAGTATGAAAAACTTTTTAATTAGTTTCTGAAGAAATTTCTTATAAAACGGACATTTGAATAAATTTAAGTATCAAAAAGATATTCTTGTGTAAAGGTTAATTCAAATGAAAGTTTTATGTGATTTGCACTCGATTTGCTCTGTACTTTCACAAAATACATTTATTAATTTCAATGAATATGTTCTTACACTGTTCATAACTCTATATACTGTATATGATTTTAAAGCAGATTAAACTTGTTGATTTCAATCAAATTGAGATCAAAATATCTTTAGTGCTTAAGTCAATTACAGTTGTTAGTGAATATTACATGTAATGTCTTACAATATTTTTAAACTGGCCGTAAAAATAAGTAAAAAGTTTCGCACAGGGGTAAAGAGATTGCGCTTTCGCAGTACGATTTTTGCAGATACGTGACGTTTTTTTGTTTCTACATCAATTTTTGTTTACAGATTGTTCCATACTGATTGTTGAGTA